GGAAATGCCAAGGAGGCCTGATGCTGAGCTGGGACCTCTCTGCAGCAGGCCCTGGCGCTTCCGGCAGCACCTCTCCCTCTGGGGTGTTTGCTGTGCTGGCAGCATCCTCAGGAGCAGAGCGGTGACCGGACCTCGGTTCACAAGTGGAACATTCTGGTTATTTTCTCTCTGAAATTAGGGTGAGCACCTGGTTTCCTTCCATTTCATCATGAAAATAAAAAAGAAGGAGCAAATAGAGCCAAGGACGGAGCAGTGGTTTGGGAAACGGAAACTGAATCTGGAATATGGGATCTGAGGCTTTGGAACCGTGTTGGGGAAAAGGAAGTCTCAGGAGCCAAAGTTTGAATCATCATAACCTCGTGTAAGCAAACTACTGAGATGTTCCTACAAGAGTCAGAATTCGTCTCTTCTCCGTTTGAGGTCGGATCTTCTTCCTGTTGATTCGTTTTTAACCTTTTATTTTACATTGGAGTATAGCTGATTATATATACTCAGTTGTGTATACTCAGTATATATACTCAGGTGTTGTGATAGTTTCAGGCGGAAGCAGAGGGACTTGGCCAGACATATACATGTATCCATTGTCCCCCAAACTCCCTTCCACCCCCTGTTGATTGTGCTTTTGAAAACCAGGGGTTTCAAAAGACTTTGTGTGACTGTTATAGACGTTGAGAGTGGAGAACTGGTCATTAACTATTGCTGAAGTCAGTTCAGTGGTCGGCTTTCAGAAATGATGATGCTTCGTCACCATCCCCTAAGCGTTGCAGATACGGTGGCCATGGAAATGGGATACAGCTCATCATCCAGGTGCGGGAGACTCAGAGCCAGCCCACAGTTAGTGCTCTTACGTCACAGTGTGAATGGACTCAGCATCCTTCATGTAACACAGCGTGAACGGATGCAGCGTAATGTGACAAATTCTTAGAACATGTGGAACTTCTGGATGAGTTTTCCCTGCTGATACAGAACAGGGTTTCTCTCAGCTGAACCCCAATGTCATCCTGCCATGCTGGGGGGATTAACTGCTCCTGCAATCTCCTCTTTTCCCTAAGAGACCCGTTTCTGCTGTGTCGCCCCCCCCCCCTGCTGTGTTCAGTCAGGGAAAACTTCTCTCCCAAAGATCCACCCAGAAGGGATGGAGGGATGTTATGACTAAAAGAGCAGAATGCTCTTAGGGCCGAATTAGCGTATGCTGCCAGAATGCAGTTTTATTCATTTGTACAGCAACCCCCCTCCTTATCCTTCATCCTCTAAAGCCCTCTGCCCTTGCTTTCTCCATCAAATAAAAGCAAGCACATCTGTTCCACACTTTAGAGTTGATACAAGTCATTTCACGGGCAACATCTCATTTAATCTCCACCCTTCTTGACATGTCCATGAACATTATCTAAACAATGAAAATGCTTCAGCATCAAGATGAAGAGGGCAGTCACCCTGAGTCTTACCGACTAGATAACAGACACCTGGCTCTAGGCTGAACCCTTGGAGAAATTATAACATGAATGAAGTTTGTCTTCTGCATCTCCCGCCTCGTTCCGTGTCTCTTTTCCTGACGCAGGCAGATCTCGGCTCTTGGCAGATGCAGGGCTTTCTCTTGGCCTCTGATCGCCTAGAGTCCTCCCTGCGGAGGGGGGTCTCCCCCAGGCAGCTTGCTTTGAACTGAGTGACTCTCTCTCCTACTCAGTCAATGTAGAGGGCAAGCCTTTTCTCTCCTTAACCTCCTCTTGGCGCGTGGCCCGTTGCAGTGAGCTCTCTAAGGCGGTGTGCATCTTGGATGAGAGATCGCAGAGATGATGTCTTAACACAAAGACACACACGGGTCCTGGTAGAGCTGCAGATGCAGTCATCCGCGGGGCTCCGTGGCAGATCGCGGCAGGTGGGCGGCTGTCAGTGCAGCCGCTAGGCGGAGCCCTTCCTGGCGGGAACAGCACCGAGAAAGCAGCATGGGTGGTCAGGGCTCAGCCTCAAACAGACGGGTGTTAATGCCTGTTACCGTTTCTACCCGAAGAGTAAGCTCCCAAGATGCACTGTCCCCCTCGCGGCTCACTGTCACTGGCAAACAAGGGTTTGAAAGGTGATTTGGAAGGTGGTCATGAGATGTATTGAAATACTGAATCTTTCCAGTCAGGAAGGTTAAGTTGCCAAATTTAGAGACCAAAATGCATTCACATTGGGACTTCCCTGGTGGTCCAGTGGTTAAGACTCAGCCCTTCCACTGCAGGGTCTGCGGGTTCAATCCCTGGTTGAGGAACTAAGATCCTGCATGCTGTGAGCCACCCGTACCCCCTGGCCAAATGTTTTTACATTGATAATCCCTTCTCAGAATAAAGTCAAAAAATATTTTACATTGCTTAAATTAAGTGATGGGAACACACAAACCACCTGGTCCACATTCTCTCACCGGATCAAGGAGGAGACTAATGCAGGAAGCTGCCAGGTCCCTTGCAAGGGAGACCCAGCTGTGGGATGGGAGCCAGACACCCCTCGTCCTCATTCAGACCTCCTGCCCATCATCAGCCACGACCGTTGCTGTGATGAGGGACAGACTGCCTCCCCCAGGCCTGCTCGCCACACCCTGACTCCAGATGGTCCGCACCCGCAGTAGCCTCTTGTCTGCCTCTGTGCCTCTCCTACCACCTCTGCCCTCTCTTCTTGAACCGCTGCAATTAAGTTTCCTTTTGTCTGCTCTTTGCATGCAATTTGGTCTGAAGTAGGTGTCCTGCGTACGCCACCTTCTCATCCTGAAGATAGAACAGAACCTTTGCACACAGAGGAACTCAGTGAACACTTTTTATATAAATGTTTAGATGCAGCATTTAGATGTCCCTGGGTCAGAGACCATACTTTATGCTATCTGCCCACTAGTTTATCCTTGTTGTTATTCAGTCACTAAATCATGTCCAACTCATGTGACCCCTGGACTGTAGCCCACCAGGCTCCTCTGTTCATGGGGTTTTCCAGGCCAGAGTACTGGAGTGGGTTGACATTTCCTTCTCCAGGGGATCTTCCTGGCCCGGGGATAGAACCCCGTCTCCTGCTTGGCAGGCGGACTTTTTACCCCTGAGCTACCAGGGAAGCTCTTTTATCCTTCGGTCCTAGGGTTTAATAAGCTATTTGTGGATGAGTGGATAAATAAGCAGAGGAATAAAACAAGACACACTCTCTCTCTCTCTCTACTGATAATAGGTACCAAATAGATAACTGGTGGGGACCTACTGTATAGCACAGGGAGCCCCACTCAGCGCTCTGTGGCGACCTAGATGGGAAGGAAACCCACAAGGGAGAGGATGTGTGTATACATGGCTGACTCACTTTCCTGTACAGTAGAAGCCACACAACATTGTAAAGCAACTACACTCCGACAAAAATTAAGTAAAACTTTTTTAAAAGGCAAAAAAAGATATGCAAACTATCCCCAATTTCTTAATAATTTGGAAGCCCTCCAAAATGACATTTACAAAATATTGTTCATCCTTCATCAAGCGGTGTTTGGTAGAAACTAATTTTGTATTGATTAAAAATACCTAATTTTATATTGAAAACAAGTAGTTTTTTTACATGCACTGAAGGTCATGTCACAACTGATTTCATTTCAAATTGCCTTTTATGTCTTTTTTTCCCTGTTTGCATAATTAGGCAGCAGAAGTCACTTGCATTCACTAAAGAGAGATGCAATTTACTTGGACAGAATTGAAAGTTATTTTTCAAAATAGATTTAAATGTTCTTCTTTCTGGTTTTCATGTCAACGCAACATTTCACACTTTTCTCTTGTTATTACTCTTTCTCTAGTTTTTTGTTTCTACCTAGGCAACTTCTGGGAGGCATGTTAACGGGTTTAAAAGAGAGATGACAGTTTAAATCTCTCATTCTCTGGGGAAAGCTCTATTCTATCATGCACTATTATTGTTCAGGACTCGGCTGACTGCAGCCGCCAACTTTAGAAGTCTGTCATCTGATGGACTGCAGGCTGACTTACAGTTTCCATGACTTTAGGTGGGAGCTGGTGGGGGGGCAGGCCTCTGGCCATGAGGCTTTGGACAAGCATCTTCACCCGCAAAGTTGGGAGAACATGACCAGTCCTGATGTGCTGTTACAAGGAAGGGTTTAGGAGATTAACTCAGTGTTTGATCCTAAATTCTCAGTATACCATCGTCCTCATCATCACTGCTCTAGTTGGAGGGAAGAAGGCTCACGATCTGTTTAGTGGTAATTTCTTGAGTCCGATGAAGTGGTTGGTTTTCCTGATTCAGGTGCCACTGTGGCATGTGCTTCTGTGGAGTGGCCTGTCTCGGGGACAATTCTTTGAGGCAGCATTTCATTTTTGCAGTGTTTATAGGAGGGCGGCCAACCAGGAAGCCAGATCAGGGCAGATTCCAGGCCCAGGCTATATAGGAAACATGCATAAAATTATTACCACAAGCTGCCTTCAAAGAACCGTTCTGATTGTCTAAAAATACACAAATAGAGTTGACTCTAATGATTTCATTCTTTTGAGGATTTCCTCCCTATTTCTGTCTGTGTTTAAAAAATCACCGACAATGAAGTGAAAACTGTTGCCAAACTCTTCATGTGTATTTAGCTAGTCAAATGTGGTGGAAAATTACATCTAGGATTTTGAGAATTGGCCCATCAATCTTGTGGAGAGCGATAGCATGGCCACAGTTTACATATAGCAAAATCCACTGCTTTTTCTTTCTTTGATCAACATACATAGATTTTACTTTACTTTTTAAATTAATTTTTATTGGAGTAGAGTTGCTTTACAGTGTTGTGTTAGTGTCTGCCATACAACAAAGTGAATCAGCCATATGTGTGTGTATGTGTATATACCCACTCCCTCTCTTTTTGGATTTCCTGCCCATTCAGGTCACCACAGGGCACTGAGTAGAGATCCTGTGGCTTCCAGTAGGTTCTCATTAGTACTGTGTGCACAGGATCGATAGTGTAAAATTTTAAAATACATGAATATTCTGGAAAACCTCTATCAGTTTGGGCTCACATGAAAGCTCATTTTCAACCCCAGGCACCAGAAGCTGATGCTCCAGTGATTTCTGCCCTGCTTTTCTTGGATGCTATTACTTGGGAGTTACCTGTCATCTCCAAGACCAATTGCTTCTCACCTGCTATTGCAGTAGGTCATCTCATGATAGAAGCAGAGCTGACAGAGTGCTCCAGGGAGGTGTTTGGTCTGGTGGCACATATCCTGTGAGTTGTCCTCTCAAATGACCGATTTCATTAAATGCCTCCGTGGCAGGTACTGCAGTGAAAGCAGTGGGATGTCCCGTGGGACTTCTCACGGGGTGGGAGGATGAGTTATGTGCAATGGCCGCTTTCCCCCTCACCTCGAAGAGTCTTATCAGAACGGTAGGTGAAAGGAGTGGCCCCAAGATCCTTCCTTAACATTCATCTCACTGCTTTGAAGAAAATGCTATTAGCAGCTTTCACAAATTCTACCTCCATAGATGTTCTGCTTTAAGGAAAACAATTACACACTAGTATATACAAAATAGTTAAATAGCAAGGACCTACTCTATAGCACAGGGAATTATACTCAATATTTTGTAATAACCTGATTGGGAAAAGCATCTGAAAAAGGTTCTTTCATTCATTTCTCTCTATCCAGCTGAGTCTCTGTGCTGTGCGCCTGAAACTCAGACAACGCTGTGAGCCAACTGGACGTCAGGAGAAGAAGACAACGCTGGGCCATCCCTGGTGGTCGCCAACTGGACGTCAGGAGAAGAAGACAACGCTGGGCCATCCCTGGTGGTCCAGTGGCGAAGACTTCATGCTCTTAATGCAGGGCTCCCAGGTTCAGTCCTGGTTGGAGAATACTGATAGATCCACTGTGCTGCAATGAAGACTCAGTGCAGCCAAATTAATGATAATAATAAAGGAACTAATAGAATAGACAAATGAGGATGTTGGCACTTTTTTCATGATGAGTATTGCCTAACATTAAGAAGTCAAGAGGGATGAAAACAAAATGTAGGAGCTTGAAAATGAAAATCTAGAGACTAAGTTATGGTTTTCTCCATTTAGTTCAGCTGCTTAGTCATGTCTGACTCTTTGTGACCCCACGGACTGCAGCACGCCAGGCTTCCCTGTCCATAACCAACTCCTGGAGCTTGCTCAAACTCATGTCATGATAAGCCTTTCTACCACTCTTCTAATAGCCTAAAGCAGCATGCAGCTTTGTGTTTTTTCCCCCCAGTCTGTTTGCAGAAGTCTGTCCATCTTATGAGGCATGGTGTAAAGAAATAATCTCTTAGAAACATGGAGATAAACTCTTATCTCTATGGAGATAAACTTAACTGCTAGTAGGACCTCAAACAAGCACCTCTCCTTTGAATATCAACTTCCTTCATAAAACTTATATGACACCAATTCTTACACTGTCTTTAGGAAAAATAATCAGCTTTCATTTAAGAATACAAGCTGACATGATCAGTAGGCATAAAAGCATGAGATTATTACACAGAAAATTACTTGTTTTGTAGGCTGTTTCCTATTTGGGAACATAGGTTAGAACTTCTCTACTGAAGTTTTACTCTTATCCCTACATTGGAAGCAGATAAAGAAGAATAGTCACCTTATTACCATCATGCTTTTTAGAATTTGAAGTATTATATTTGTTGCTTTCTGGATTTGTAAGATATTTTAACTTTGAGATTAAAATGAAAGTTCAAAGTTAGACAGTACAGGAAATGTAGGTGATTTTAAATATGTTGTTTATATAATGTTGGCTTCAACTTAGTGTTTCCAAAACAGTTTGCAATGAAATTGTTTGATTCATTTTTTAATTTGAAGTTGGCTTTAACCTATTAGTTACTTATATGATTTTCTCATTTATTCAACAAATATTAATTGGGAACTACTGTTTAATATTTTCTGTGCCTAGTCACGCAGTCGTGTCTGACTCTTTGTGACCCCACGGACTGCAGCCTGCCAGGCTCCTCTGTCTATGGGATCCTCCAGGTAAGAACACTGCCATTCCTTCTCCAGAGGATCTTCCTGACCCAGGGATCAAACCCGGGTCTCCTGCACTGTAGGCAGATTCTTTACCATCTGAGCCACCAGGGAAGCAGCTTCTATTCTATTTTATATTTTCTCCTGTTTACTTCTCTGTTTTTCCACATAAAAACAAAATCATCTGATGACTTCTGTGTACATTTGATCTCTTTTACCTACAAAACAGCAATTTCACATGGTTCAAAAATACCTATTAGGTATACTTATTCACAACTGTCATAAAATAGATGTATAGAAAAAGCAACAGATAAAACGCGGCCACTGATAGAGTTTCTTTCTCAAACATGATCCATCCATACGTATAAACAAGAGCCTAAAAAATGACAACTACTTGAATTAACATAAACATAATTAGAACAGAATACATCTGAAGTGATGGGAAACACATTGACTCCAAATCCCTTGATCTTATTTTTCCAAAAGGTATATATAATCCTCTCTCTAAAGGGTTTTATTAGAGCAGCTATCAAGTAGCAAAATAGCCCACCTTCCCCCTACTCTTTTTTCAGGATAACATCTCCTGACATAGCAAAACAAGGAGACGAAGGGGAAAATGAGGCTAGGAATCGCCACTGTCTGACACTTAGGCTGGGAACAACTTAGAACAGACACAGCAGTTTCCCTTCTGTAAGGGAAATATATTCCCATTTATCTTTCCATATGATTTATCACAATTAAAAAAGTGCCCCAGGAATAGCTTAAGCTGTTTATTTTTTCTCAAAGTGAAAAGCAACGCTATGTCTATTCTAACTTGTTACTGTCACAAAGGACTATATATTTTCCACATACACTGCTAGTTATATAAATCACTTAATTTCCTCCTTATTACATGAATGGCATGGAGAATATAAATATTGACCTCTTTGACCATTAACAATATGCTTAACAAAAAAATTCTTCTTTAAGCAGAAGAGAGAGAGGTTATTTTAAGAGTTCTGAAAGGCGGCTGCTGCTGCTTGGGAATGAAAGCCTACCTATTGAAAGAGCATGTGGATATTAAATGGTTTAACACATTTTGCTTTATGCTTTTCTGATATATGTGCAAAATGTAAGCAAACTGACTTGACAGTATAGTATACAGTAAGCAGAAACATTCAGAAAAAGTAACGGTGTGGGGAGACCTTTAATTTTCTTTTTTAAAAAATTTATTTTATTTAACTTTATTTAACTTTAACTTTATTTATTTTATTTAACTTTTTATTGGAGTATAGCCGATTAACAACGTTGTGATAGTTTCAGGTGGACAGCAAAGGGACTCAGCCACACACATACATGCATGATCTTAATTCCTTCCTCTCATCCCTCCTATCATTGATGCTATTTATTCCACTTACATACAAGTTTAGAAATACACATACATGTATTATATAATGCATGCTTATACATAAGTAGGGCTTCCTGGTTAGAGCAAATTGTAAAGAATCTGTCTGCAATGTGAGAGATCTGGGTTCAGTCCCTGGGTCAGGAAGATCCCCTGGAGAATGGCATGGCAATCCACGTCAGTATTCTTGCCTGGAGAATTCCACAGATAGAGGAGCCTGGTGGGCTACAGTCCATGGGGTCAAAAAGAGTGGGACACAACTGAGTGACTAAGACTTTCACTTTTCATGCAAAAGTATACACAATATGCACATACATATACATAAGCATATATAACCAAATACACTGTAATTATTATTATTTGTACAAATTGTTTTTATTGGATAAATTAAGAATAGGAAAAATGTTTCTATGCTACTTCACTTCTTCCTTGATGTTCTGATCTATATTATTTTTCTCTCTCTCTTTAAAGTTTCTTTTAACATTTCCTAGGGGCAGTTCTTCTTGTAATAATCACCCAGTTTTTGTCTGAGAAAGTATTTATTTCTCCTTTACTTTTGAAGCATAGTTTCACAGAGTGCTGAGTTCCAGATCACTGCTTGTTTTCTTTTCTTTTCCTCAACACTAAATAGTTCACTCTGCTTTCTTCTAGCTTGCATGGTTTCTGAGAAGTCAGATATAATTCTTATCTTTGTTCCTCTATAGGTAGGGTTTTTCTCTGCTTTCAGAGTTTTTTATCTTTGACTCCCTGTAGTTTCAAGATGATATTCTTAGGTGCATTTTTTTCTTTTTCAGTCTTCATGCTTCTTGGTATTTTCTGAGCAGCCTGGATCCATGGCTTGGTGTCTGACATTAACTTGGAGAAATTCTGTCACTATTATTTCAAATATTTATTCTGTTCCTTTCACTCTTTTCCTTCTGGTACCTTATACCTTTTGTAGTTGTTCTACAGCCTTGGATTTTTTTTTTTTTTTTTTTTTTAGGCTTTATTTTCTTTGCTTCTCAGTTTTTAAGGATTCTTTTGCTATACCCTTAGGGCTTCCCCTGTGGTTCAGACGGGTAAAGAATCTGCCTGCAATGCAGGCGACCTGGGTTCGAATCCTAGGTTGGGAAGATCCCCTGGAGAAGGGAAAGGCTACCCACTGCCATATTCCGGTCTGGAGAATTCCATGGAATGTATAGTCCATGGGGTCGCAAAGAGTCGGACATGACTGAGCAACTTGCACTTCCACTATATCCTCTAGCTCAAAGATGGTTTCCTCAGCCATGTCTAGTCTACTTAATAAGCCATCAGAGGCAGTCTTCATTTCTTTTTCAGTGTTTTTACGTCCAGCACTTCCTTTTGTTTCCTTCTGTAGCCCTCCAGGCTCCTGTGTCCGTGGGGGTTCGGGTGAGGCTTGAGTAGGTTTTCCCTTCTCCCGTGGGAATGGTAGAGCTCGCTGGAGCTGGTGTTTTGCTTCCCCGAGCAGTCAGGCTCTGGTTAATTGGTTTCTCCTGCGGCAGCCTTGTTAAGCGCAGAGCATTCTGGGAAGTTTCAAAATGGCTCCTTCCCCCTCCTCAGCCGGAGCCAGAGGAACTTTGTCTTTGATGCCATGGGAGTCAGGTTGCCGCCTGGAAGTAAACCTCACAGTCTCTCAGGGACCGCCCTACCGCCGCCCCCCGACGACTGGGGCCCCCTGGAGTTTCTAACTCTCAGGTTTGTCCTTCTGAGCCCCCCGCATAACCTCAGTTACATCTCGGCTGTTCCCGCCCAGGCCCTGGACCCCACAGTGTTACCCACGCGGGAGCCTCCACTCAGGTAAGCTGATTCTCTTGTTTTTGCGTTTCTGCCTCTCCCGAGTTTTCCTGTGTCTTCACCTCGCCAAGAGTTGTTGATTTTCAGTCTGTTTAGCTTTCTGTTGTGTTAGGGTGGAATGGCGTCTTCTAAGTTTCTTACCTGTAGAACCAGAAAACAGTTTCCCCTACGTTTTTGTTTTGTTTTCTTGATTTATGGCATTATATACTTCACGTGTGCAGTTTTGTTTTGACTCTGTATGCACTGCAGTGTACCATAGGTTTAGTTTCTCTCCGCCCATATCATTAAGACCCTTTACCAGCCTACCTTTTTTTTTTCCCCCACCCTACCTTTTAACAAGTCGTTTTCTCAGTTTTGAGAAGTACTTTATGAATGGAGGATATAAACCCTTTGTGATAAAATTACAATTTCTCTTCCAGTTTATCATAGGTAATTTAACTTTTGCCTTTATTTAATAGTATTTGTTTTATATGGTCAAATTATCTCTTCAATGGTTGTTGGATTTTAAAGCATGGTTAGAAATTTTTTTTTTCAATCAATTTTAAGTTGAATTGTTTTCTTCTAGAATTTTGTGGTTGATATTTGTGGTTGATATTATTTTGCATTCACACCTGCGGTCCAGTTGGGGTTTTTTCTGTTGTAGCGTGTGTGAAGACCACATCCAGTTGTAGGTTGGTTGGTAGTTTGTGACTTCTGATCTTCTTAAATGGTTTCTATTTTACTAATCTCTTGCTTTGAATATTTGTCCCTTTGGCCCTTTATGGTTTATTTTGTTGGGTTTTTGGTCTTTTACCATTGTTTAGAGGTGCTTTTTTGTTAATAAATAATTATTATAAATATAAGTATTTCATTCTTTTTCTGAGCACTGCTTTAACAGTGTTCCACTGGATTCAGAAAACTGTTTCATTGTCATTATTTTCGAGAAACTCTGTCTTCATTTTGTCTTTTTCCCTTTGATTCAAGAGTTCTTTAATATCACATAAAAATTGTAAGTAGATGAGACTTTAAAATTTTGTTACTAGTTTATGGTTTATTGTATATGGTCAAAGTATGCTGTTTGTACCATTTATTTTAACATTTTAAAAGTAACTCTTTATGAATTTATTAATTTTTTTGTGTGGAATTATATGTAGTCAATTTTTATGAATGCTACATGTTCACATGAAAAAACATTCTCCACTGTCAGAGTACTAGGTTACAGTATTTACGTGTAATATATGCCCTGTTGATTTTGATTTTTAGGTCTTCTGTGTTTTTACTGACTTTTCCTGTAAATCTGTCTTGGACTGAGAGGGGTATTAATATTTAAAATCACTTATAACTAGCATTTCTCCCTTCCCTGCAATTGCTTCTGTACTCAGTTGCTGTTGTAGTTGAGGTATTTACGTATTGTGAGTTGCAGTCTTCAGTCTTATAATGTGTTATTTAAAACCTTTGTGTATATTCTCTTCATCTAGTAATAGAACAGTCCCTGCTTTTTTATAAAGTATGTTTCCATGTTATGTCTTTGTCCTCCTGAGATGGCATATCCATTATACTGAAAGGGAACTCAGGCTGCCTTGAGACAAGAGAAAGTCAGGCTCCAGAGAAGACCATGAGAAGTGAGGTGTGGTGAACCCATGTCTTGTGCCCATGTGGGATGTACATATGAGAGCACCTCCCCCAAGGTGACATTTCTTTCTAGTTCAGCCAGTGTAGTCACAGGTTGTATTATTTTCATGTCTAATGGTAATGTTTGATTTCATGTTCTAACCAAACTACACAATTTCAGGACAGAAAATCTCATTTTCTCACAGAAGAGAAAAACATTGGAAAGGTGAAGCGGAGAGAAAAATACTAGAACTGAAACTAGCAGTTACTTTCTTTTTAAATTTAATACATATGGTCTTTGTAGGACACTTTGATTACCTTCTCTGGATTTGGAAGGGAGATATAAATGAACTGTTTTAAACAGTAGTAATGCATTTGCCCATTAGCCAGCAAGAGAGTCTGTTTTTGCCCCTGGAGTTTCTCTTTGCAGTGATGAAGCTAGGATTATTTTCATTAAAAAATATTTCTGCATGTTCTTGTCCTTCAGCATTTTGAATGAGCATCATAATGAAAGCAAGTGTCCAGTGGTTTGTTGATTACTTAATTTTAATGGACCTTTATGTAGAATATAATATGTTGGCGCCTTTAAAGAGCAACTGATAAATGAGAATTTCATGTTTATGTTTCATGCAAAACTCTAAATTCTTACTCTGTATCTTGTGGGGAGGGAGGACACAGGAGGGATTTACTATTTTTGCAAAAATATTTGAAAACATCTGTCAGATTTTATGTTAATCAGTTGTAATAAATTTATTTTTAAAGTAAAAAATCATTTTATTCACCAGTTTTATATATTTGCTTGCAACCAGTTAGATTGAGAACAAATATACTATCATGGTGGTTAGCATAGACAAATTATTCAAAAATATATATTTTTCTTTTTTTAGTGGAAGTGAAATACAATGACAGAAATCATAGATTGGGCAATATTGATGAGGCACGTGGAAGAACTTCTCTCTTTTTCACTGTGAGGTACCTTGGGAACTGGATTGGGTCAAAAGAGCAGAATGAGTATCATTGACTTGATTATTTTTATTTTTTAACATTTTTTTGTGCTGTAATCAAATAGCACTTTCATTAGTTTACTAGGGCTGCCATGACATCACAGACTTTGTCGCTAAAACAGCAGCTACTTTCTGTGAGTTCTGTGAGCTGCAAGTCCAAGGTCGAGGCATTTATCGGTAGGTCTGCTTTCTCCTGAGCCTCCGTCACTGGCCTGCAGATGCTGTAGGCTTGCTGTGTCCTCACATGCTGTTTTCTTGGTGTGCAGTTGTCCTGGCATCTCCCCTTCTTCTTGACAGGACACACCTTATACTGGGTTTTGACTTGCTTGTCTCTGGAAGGTCTACTTACTCATTTCTGTAGAAAATACAGTGCAGTAAGAAACTCTAAGCTGCTTCTTAATGCAAAGCTTAAGAACCCCCTGGAGCAGCATGTTGATTTATGGAAGAAGACGAAAGTTATTAAAAACCTCTAAGGTTCCATGAATAGCTCATTTACCTGCTTTGCTTAAATGCTGGTCTAGAATTAGTTCTTGACTAGAGAGCTGCTTATTTTGCAATTAGCAAAGAAGTCAGATTTTTCTGGTAATTTTGCTAATGCATTCATCCATTAACTCAGTGTCAGTAGTCTGCTTAAATGTGGTGCAATGTCTGGTACCCGCAATAACTAATTTTTCCCCATGACACAATTGACAAGGTGTTAAAGGCACCAGAAGCTTTATGGAAACACGTGTGTACCCTCTTGAGAAAACCATGAATGCGCTACAGTATACACATGATTCCATAATAATTAGGTTCAAGAGACAACTCCCCAGGGATGAAATACATACCCCATTTATTGAGTGATTTCTCTATCTGTCATTATGCTAAGTGCTTCCTGTGTGTTAACAATAGTGCATTAATTCTCACATAGCTCTGTAAGTCAGATATTATTGTAACTGTATTTATATCAGGTCGTGAGGCTCAGACAAGTTGATTAACTGATTCAAAGTAACATGGTAATGATGAAGCTAGAATTCACACATTGATTCTAGATTATGTGCTCTTTTTTTTATTGAAGTTTAGTTGATTTGCAATGTTGTCTTTAGGTGTATGGCAAAGTGATTCAGATATATGTATGTGTGTATATATACACATACATGCATATGCTCTTTTTATTTTTGTTTTTAATGAAAAATTTAGGTATGAAAGATGACAAAATTAATATAATGCTCATATAATCACAAAGTGGCTTAAGATATAATTGGAGTTCTCTTTGTTCTTGTTCCATTGCTAATCACATTGTTCCTTTTTTTGTCTAGAAGTAGCCACTGTCTGAATTTTGTGATAACCTTTCCCATATATTTATTTTCTTAAATGCATACCATTATGTTTCTAAACAATATATCCTATTGCTTTAAAGTAAATATGTAAAAACATTATTTCAGTTAGAAATTTGTATAAACACTGTATTTGTGCCAAATCGCTTTGGTCATGTTCAACTCTTTGTGACCCCATGGACTGTATCCCGCCAGGCTCCTCTGTCCATGGCATTCTCCAGGCAAGAACACTGGAGTGGGTTGCCATACCCTCCTCCAGGGGATCTTCCCAATCTAGGGATTGTATTCACATCTTTATGTCTCCTGCATTGGCAGGTGGGTTCTTTACCACTCATCCCACCTGGGAAGCCCAAATACTGTATCCATCTGGAATTTGCTCCATTATTTTTGTGAGGTTTCTCCCTGTTCATACAGGAATTGCTTTTCATTATTTAAAATTATATATTATAGTCTGCTGCCAGACCGTAGTATAAGCTATCTTCTGTTTAGTAGGCATTGTTATTGAGCCCATTTATATTATTGGAGAAGGCAATGGCACCCCACTTCAGTACTCTTGCCTGGAAAATCCCATGGATGGAGGAGCCTGGTAGGCTGCAGTCCATGGGGTCGTGAAGAGTCGGACACGACTGAGCGACTTCACTTTGACTTTTCACTTTCATGCATTGGAGAAGGAAATGGCAACCCACTCCAGTGTTCTTGCCTGGAGAATCCCAGGGACGGGGGAGCCTGGTGGGCTGCCGTCTATGGGGTCGCACAGAGTCGGACACGACTGAAGCGACTTAGCAGCAGCAGCAGCATGAGATATTATTGGAAGCATTTATGTGCTAGTTTTCTTTGTACATATCTTAAAGTTTCCCAGGAGTAGAACAGTAAGTGGTAAGGTGTGCATCTTCAAGTTTAAGAGACAGTCATCCCTCAGTATTGAAGAGGATTAGTTCTGGAAGCCCCTGTGGATACCAAAATCTGTGGATGCTCAAGTCCAGTATTGAAAACGGCATAGTACAGTCAGCCCTCTATCTGTGGATCCCCCGTCTGTGGACAGGAAGGGCAGTTAGGTCCAGATGAATTTTCAAAGCACTTTTATTGCTGTGTATTCACACTAGTTAGTATTCCTGTTGTTCTGTAATGTACCTTTGTGTTGTCAAACTTCTTTTTACATTGATTTTTGTAAATCTGACTGTGTGAAGTGATTCCTCAGTGTGGTGTTTCTTCTTGCTTCTCTTGGTGGCCGGTTGGGCATCTTTTCACATGTAGATGCCCTTTGTCTCCTTTCTCTGTGAA